TCGTGATGGTCAAGTGGATTAAGGCGTCTTGTACATACCAGTTGCGTGGCTTCTGGGAGTATGGGTTCGAGTCACTTCTGGGGTGTGAGTTTTCAGTTGCATATGTCCTGGGGACCATTCAGGCTTGTTCGCATTTGTGTTCCTCACGTGTGCCCCAAAGAATGAGGTGATTTGGTAAAATGCTATGCCCAAGATAACTATCCGAGTGCCGGCGGTGGGGTGGTTCATATAGCCTCGGCTATCACCTCATTATGTCCGGTCGTGATGGTCAAGTGGATTAAGGCGTCTTGTACATACCAGTTGCGTGGCTTCTGGGAGTATGGGTTCGAGTCACTTCTGGGGTGTGAGTTTTCAGTTGCATATGTCCTGGGGACCATTCAGGCTTGTTCGCATTTGTGTTCCTCACGTGTGCCCCAAAGAATGAGGTGATTTGGTAAAATGCTATGCCCAAGATAACTATCCGAGTGCCGGCGGTGGGGTGGTTCATATAGCCTCGGCTATCACCTCATTATGTCCGGTCGTGATGGTCAAGTGGATTAAGGCGTCTTGTACATACCAGTTGCGTGGCTTCTGGGAGTATGGGTTCGAGTCACTTCTGGGGTGTGAGTTTTCAGTTGCATATGTCCTGGGGACCATTCAGGCTTGTTCGCATTTGTGTTCCTCACGTGTGCCCCAAAGAATGAGGTGATTTGGTAAAATGCTATGCCCAAGATAACTATCCGAGTGCCGGCGGTGGGGTGGTTCATATAGCCTCGGCTATCACCTCATTATGTCCGGTCGTGATGGTCAAGTGGATTAAGGCGTCTTGTACATACCAGTTGCGTGGCTTCTGGGAGTATGGGTTCGAGTCACTTCTGGGGTGTGAGTTTTCAGTTGCATATGTCCTGGGGACCATTCAGGCTTGTTCGCATTTGTGTTCCTCACGTGTGCCCCAAAGAATGAGGTGATTTGGTAAAATGCTATGCCCAAGATAACTATCCGAGTGCCGGCGGTGGGGTGGTTCATATAGCCTCGGCTATCACCTCATTATGTCCGGTCGTGATGGTCAAGTGGATTAAGGCGTCTTGTACATACCAGTTGCGTGGCTTCTGGGAGTATGGGTTCGAGTCACTTCTGGGGTGTGAGTTTTCAGTTGCATATGTCCTGGGGACCATTCAGGCTTGTTCGCATTTGTGTTCCTCACGTGTGCCCCAAAGAATGAGGTGATTTGGTAAAATGCTATGCCCAAGATAACTATCCGAGTGCCGGCGGTGGGGTGGTTCATATAGCCTCGGCTATCACCTCATTATGTCCGGTCGTGATGGTCAAGTGGATTAAGGCGTCTTGTACATACCAGTTGCGTGGCTTCTGGGAGTATGGGTTCGAGTCACTTCTGGGGTGTGAGTTTTCAGTTGCATATGTCCTGGGGACCATTCAGGCTTGTTCGCATTTGTGTTCCTCACGTGTGCCCCAAAGAATGAGGTGATTTGGTAAAATGCTATGCCCAAGATAACTATCCGAGTGCCGGCGGTGGGGTGGTTCATATAGCCTCGGCTATCACCTCATTATGTCCGGTCGTGATGGTCAAGTGGATTAAGGCGTCTTGTACATACCAGTTGCGTGGCTTCTGGGAGTATGGGTTCGAGTCACTTCTGGGGTGTGAGTTTTCAGTTGCATATGTCCTGGGGACCATTCAGGCTTGTTCGCATTTGTGTTCCTCACGTGTGCCCCAAAGAATGAGGTGATTTGGTAAAATGCTATGCCCAAGATAACTATCCGAGTGCCGGCGGTGGGGTGGTTCATATAGCCTCGGCTATCACCTCATTATGTCCGGTCGTGATGGTCAAGTGGATTAAGGCGTCTTGTACATACCAGTTGCGTGGCTTCTGGGAGTATGGGTTCGAGTCACTTCTGGGGTGTGAGTTTTCAGTTGCATATGTCCTGGGGACCATTCAGGCTTGTTCGCATTTGTGTTCCTCACGTGTGCCCCAAAGAATGAGGTGATTTGGTAAAATGCTATGCCCAAGATAACTATCCGAGTGCCGGCGGTGGGGTGGTTCATATAGCCTCGGCTATCACCTCATTATGTCCGGTCGTGATGGTCAAGTGGATTAAGGCGTCTTGTACATACCAGTTGCGTGGCTTCTGGGAGTATGGGTTCGAGTCACTTCTGGGGTGTGAGTTTTCAGTTGCATATGTCCTGGGGACCATTCAGGCTTGTTCGCATTTGTGTTCCTCACGTGTGCCCCAAAGAATGAGGTGATTTGGTAAAATGCTATGCCCAAGATAACTATCCGAGTGCCGGCGGTGGGGTGGTTCATATAGCCTCGGCTATCACCTCATTATGTCCGGTCGTGATGGTCAAGTGGATTAAGGCGTCTTGTACATACCAGTTGCGTGGCTTCTGGGAGTATGGGTTCGAGTCACTTCTGGGGTGTGAGTTTTCAGTTGCATATGTCCTGGGGACCATTCAGGCTTGTTCGCATATATATATATATATATATATATATATATATATATATATATATATATATATATATATATATATATATATATATATATATATATATATATATATATATATATATATATATATATATATATATATATATATATATATATATATATATATATATATATATATATATATATATATATATATATATATATATATATATATATATATATATATATATATATATATATATATATATATATATGTCGTACCTAGTAGCCAGAACTCACTTCTCAGCCTACTATGCAAGGCCCGATTTGCCTAATAAGCCAAGTTTTCATGAATTAATATATTTTCTCTATTTTTTTCTTATGAAATGATAAAGCTACCCATTTCATCATGTATGAGGTCAAATTTTTTTTATTGCAGTTAAAATTAACGTAGATATATGACCGAACCTAACCAACCCTACCTAACCTAACCTAACCTATCTTAATATGTTAGGTTAGGTTAGGTAGCAGAAAAAGTTAGATTAGGTTAGGTTAGGTAGGTTAGGTAGTCGAAAAACAATTAATTCATGAAAACTTGGCTTATTAGGCAAATCGGGCCTTGCATAGTAGGCTGAGAAGTGCGTTCTGGCTACTAGGTACGACATATATATATATATATATATATATATATATATGTCGTACCTAATAGCCAGAACGCACTTCTCAGCCTACTATTCAAGGCCCGATTTGCCTAATAAGCCAAGTTTTCATGAATTAATGTTTTTTCGTCTACCTAACCTACCTAACCTAACCTAGCTTTTTTTGGCTACCTAACCTAACCTTACCTATAAATATAGGTTAGGTTAGGTTAGGTAGGGTTGGTTAGGTTCGGTCATATATCTACGTTAATTTTAACTCCAATAAAAAAAAATTGACCTCATACATAGAGAAAAGGGTTGCTTTATCATTTCATAAGAAAAAAATTATAGTAAATATATTAATTCAGGAAAACTTGGCTTATTAGGCAAATCGGGCCTTGAATAGTAGGCTGAGAAGTGAGTTCTGGCTACTAGGTACGACATATATATATATATATATATATATATATATATATATATATATATATATATATATATATATATATATATATATATATATATATATATATATATATATATATATATATATATATATATATATATATATATATATATATATATATATATATATATATATATATATATATATATATATATATATATATATATTTTCATGGGCATATTTCTTACATAATTCTAACTTGTTACTCTTCTAATACCTTCCTCGATTATAAAAACTTGACTATAGATTACAATGAGCTGTGTCTTGCACTGTAAAAGCTATAGCTAGACCCATGCTCGCTGTCTCAATATGGTATGCCATATAGTGTAAGCTAGCGCTACGTTTGTGTCATTATACAACACCACGTGTTTGGTCAAATTTTAATTGAAGGCATCTGAAATATCAGGGGAAGATTCCACATAAGGCTAAACCTGTCCAGAAATAGAAGTGCTTATGAGAACAAGATATAAATGGTAGTAGAAGTTGTATTCCCAGAATCTACACCAGGTATGATCCAGGTTTAAGTAACACATCACACTCGCTCCCACAATTAATTATATTTTCATAACCATAGAATGTATCCTTCAGCACCAAGCACACCACAAGTATCTATACTACTAATGCTAAATAATCCTTCCTTTATAAAAACAAAGTTAAACAATTAAAAAATTACACAAAAGTGCAAAATTTTCCTTAATGACTCTCCTAAATAAGGTTAGTAGATCACAAATATTTGTCGCTCAAACGCCATTTTCATGAATGTAATATTCTCCTCAAAGCCATATCTGTTCACAAGCTTCCTTGTTTTTCCCAATACATTACAGAACCTAACTCAAATTGATCCAATCTTCCGGCCTTACATATCAGCGCACCACCGTGCAACCGAGCGCATGATGCAGATGCAGTCATTTTTATTAGAGCTCAAATTTCTGAGAGTATATGAATAAGGATAGAATTCATCATGATCTACAGAGATTGATCAAAAGTTGCCAAGTACAATGTAATTACTATATATGTTTGTTATGTAGCAATATGTAGAATACTTTGACTATACTGTATAACAAAGCCTGCAAATGAGATCATTCAAAGCTTTATTATTCAAAATATATTGCACAGCATAACTCATTTTTTTGTATACATGAAGTAAAACCAGTAATACTTCCATAGACTGATGAGCCTGCAGCATGGATTGCATCAGTTTTATGGTGATTAATAATTTACAGTCAGAACAAAAGAAGACAAAAATATGGATAAAATATAATGGTGAGAATTACAAGCAAAGTAGCAAAACAACTGAAACCTTAAGCAATATGAAGATGACCAACTTAATAATACAGTCTTCAATATGGCCAACTTCATTGAATAATACTCTTAGTAAAGTAAATGAATTAGAGGCAATATACAATCAACAAGCATCTAACGTTTGTGTTAAAACACACAATCTTGCAAACCACAACGAATCATTCATAACTTACAAGCTGGACAGCCAACATCTTCGAGAACCTACAAACCAGACGGAAACACAAGTGACTGCAACGTGCATAGATGTTTCTTACCAAACTCTCGGTCAAATGAGGCAAATACACATCAGTAGTTGAGCAAAGAGGTAAGTGAAGCAGAGATGATTAAAGGTATAAAGTGAGACATAAATGACATACAAAGAGTTCATGGAAACCAAGACAAAGTGTAGAGCTGCTATACACATGTGGAGGCTTAGTGATAACAAGATTCCCCAAATCCCATGGAGAGGACAGGTTTGGAAGACGCACAGGTATTGATAAGGTACAAGGTAAAAGGCTCTGGGATAAATGTCAACTATGTACAACTAGACAGACGTGCGAACACTCGAGTAGCTGTTGATGGTGTCGGTGAAAGGTCGGCAGAGTGTTTATGGATAGATTACCAATACAATAAGTCACTTCATCTTAAGTAATGTACAAACAGTGGAACTATGCATGCATACATATACTGTACACTCCAAAAAATTATCATATACAACTACATAAAATATATATATATACCTGTATACACATTATTATTCTTTGATGAAATCTTAAATATGTAAATACGAAAATAAGTTCTTATAGAAATGAATAGATATAAATTAAATAGATACTATATACCCACTTAATGTTGATAAAATTTCAAATATATTTTTAGGTCTCATTAATATTACTCTGGATATACAGCACAGTACTGAGGAAAAAAACCTATAACTGTAAATGTGAGCATTAATGAACTGCATTCCACTTTATAGTACTGTAGAATATCTTGGTAGAGATCTGTAGGCTTTAAAAGTTTTCCAACAAATAAATTATCTTGGATATGTTTGACCTTTTATGGATGATTGATGTACTGTACTGTATTTGCATGTAATAAGACAGGAAGTGGTGTTTTTCTTACTTACTTACTGATACAGTATTCCTGCACGACACATCATATATACCCTGGCACATTTCCCATCTTAATTAGAACCTAACATTTATAAACTGACACTTCAAATACAAGTGTCAACAATGGCACACTGTTGGAGATAAACAATGACAGCACAGTAACATTGATGTCTTATTATTGCTAAGAATTATTTCTTAGCATTTTGCTGCCAGCACCTCACAAAGTTGTTAAGTGTTGTCCTATATAGTGCACTGAATCCCCAGTAATCTGGATCTTAATATAAAGGATTCTGTAATATAATTACAATTAATGTAATGGGCTAAATCTGCCAATGGGTTTATCCCTTTGAAAGTCAGATTTATTGGACAAAAAATTCAAATTACAGATAATACTGCAGTGAAATTCAGTTTCTCGCTAGTAATTTCAGATACAGTATTTTTTTTGTCTTCCTCTTTCAATAATATCAATAATAATGCATTGCTATTTTATAAATGTTTTTCTGTGCATGTACTGTACAGTGTATCATTGAAAATCGAGATCATGTTGTTTGACCCGATTCAGGTCTGCAAGCAGTGATTTATTAATACTGTACAGTACTGTTCTTCATTTGGCTATTTATTACCACATTTTCAGATATTTTACTTATGGCAAACAATACACACTTCATATTTAGACAATATATAAACAATAATTTTGTGTGTATGTAAAAAAAAAAATGTAAGTTTTTACTTGTATTTTGTTTCACAGGACAATGCTGGTATCTCAGAGACAGCACAATGGACTTAGTGGTGTTATGCCATCGGTTAAACATCTGCAGCCAAACTGAACTGGCCTTGAAAGAACCATTATCAAAATAAGGTACCAAGCCAGGAAAACTATGTAGCGCATCATAGAATATTAAGTAATTCATAGATACAATTCATGATGTCAACAAAATAAGCAAAAAGCTCTAAGCCAAGCAATGTCAAGGAAACAGATGTACCGCGGATTTTAGTTAGGGACTTGAACAAGACTCAAAGGAACAGTGAAGAAGCAAAAGTTCCATGCAAAGTCTTAGAGGTCTTTCTTCCATCAAGTGCCCATGAATTAATCATGTGAGCTCACCACACAATCTAGCCAGTGATGTTTCCCACTCTCTGTTTTGGTGACAAGAGGAAGGCTATGGGGATATGTCACATTTGATAGTATTTTTATTATTCATAATGGAACACGAGATGGAACAAGCTCTAACGGCCTTTTTAGTGGCAGTAAAGGAAAACAAAATTTCTAGTCAAACTAGTCCTGCCAAGATGCTAACAGCTGCTCCAACTAGCAGTAATAGCAATTGAAGCAAGAGTGTCAACAATGCCTCGGGTGGCACAGAAGTGTGGAGTCCATCAACAACTCTGAATGTAACATTGTGACACCAAAAGATGCTGTAATCTCTACATTTGGCCAACTGGTATGACTAAATTTAGCTTACTAACTTGTACAAGGCTCAGAAGCTGTCACTTCTAAATGCCTGTGCAGGCGATGAATCACAATAACGTGGCTGAAGTAGTTTGACCAGACCACACACTATAAGGTGAAGGGACAACGACGTTTCAGCCCATCCTGGATCATTCTCAAGTCGAGAATGGTCCAGGACGGACCGAAACGTCGTCGTCCCTTCACCTTCTAGTGTGTGGTCTAGTCAATCTAAATGCCTTCTTTTCATGAAGTAGCAGGTGATTTATTGAGATATTCCTGGAAGATTACCTGATCACCAGGTTAATTCTGTTCTGTATAGAACCTTCAGATATGTTCATCATCTTTATTCAGGTTAAGTGTCTTAGTGTCTAACAAATTGGTCTCATGTAGTATTTAAACTACTTTCAACAGTCATGTATTCTATTCCACATGAAATGTGACACATCTTATATGAAAAAGTCTCATTTTTAACACTTAATTATGGCTTGGCTTTGCAATTAAAAATGTTAATAATCTTATGCTAATAAAATGCTATATAAATGTGTTTATGGTGTATTGTTTGCTAACCACTGTATCCAGCTCATTATTTAGAATGACTATTTACAAAAAGTTAACATGTAAATTATACACATGTTGGAATGAATCTCAACTCTGAAAATACAAGTTCCACAGGGCCAAAAATAGTGTGCAACAAAAGAAATGTGTTGAATATTGTATGCAGGTTCTATATTATGAACAACAATAGTAATTAGACATAGCATGTGTGTGCATATTTAAGACGAAAGTGGAAAGTTGTGTGCTGAGATAGGAGCAGTTTGAGGGAAGGGAACTATTGAGAGAAAGAGCCAAGCCATTATGACTATATAGCACTTGGAAGGGGTAAGGATAAGGATCTGGGATGGGACGTGGGGAAGGAATGGTGCCCAACCACTTGGACATGCGGGGATCGAATGCTGACTTGCATGAAGCAAGGCCGTTGCTCTACTGTCCAGCTCAAGTGGTTGGGTAAGGTACCCTGTGGTTTCATGACTAGCATGCTTCACTCTCTTACACACCTGGTTTCCAGTCCTGGACGAGGTTGGGTCAATTGAATATTGGTCTTTCACCGAATCAATGCCAGTGCTACCAACGGTAATTGAGAACCTGAATGTAAAACAGCTTGTGGATTATGTTGCAGTGAATAGCCACACCGATTCCAGTACCTTTACCGAGACTTAAATTTCTTCATAAAGAAATGAAGGAAAATATACAGTACTAGCATTTTGACTCCAGCTTTCATCTCTCCTTATCCTTATTACTAGGGGTTAAGATTAAACTACCAGTTAAATACATTAGCCACTTGCTCACGAGAGCCCGAGTCACTTATGAGAGCACGAGCCACTCGTGCTCACATGAAAATGGTCACATTCAAAGTCGCACTGGAATGCTCTGAGTCTTTGATGTTTATTAAACACTGAACTGTAAACTAGTTTAGAAGCAACTGTAGAACTTTAGGTAGCTTGCTCCAGTGGTGATCTTTGACTCCTTTCACATAAATCTTGTGTCTGCTGATACGATGCAACATCGCTGTAGCTTATATCATGATCAAGAGTGATCATGCCCCATCTTGCTGCATCAGCAATGGCAATAAAATGAGTCCATATTTGCTCAAGTTTTGGAGGATATATAGTGGGCTCAAATATCAAAGAAAAAGTATATGTTATATGTATATTTTATGTTATAATTACTGTACTGTATGAGGATGTGGAAATGCTATTTATCAGTGGTGGTACTGTAGGTGTCGGCCAGGGGGTAGGTGTCAGTGGTACACAAATTGGTGGTACACGGTGGTACGCAGCCATTATCTGCCGGTGGCTGGTAGGTGTCAGGCTACGAGGGGGCCTCGTAGCCTGGTGGATAGCGCGCAGGACTCTTAATTCTGTGGCGCGGGTTCGATTCCCGCACGAGGCAGAAACAAATGGGCAAAGTTTCTTTCACCCTGAATGCCCCTGTTACCTAGCAGTAAATAGGTACCTGGGAGTTAGTCAGCTGTCACGGGCTGCTTCCTGGGGGTGGAGGCCTGGTCGAGGACCGGGCCGCGGGGACACTAAAGCCCCGAAATTATCTCAAGATAACCTCAAGATATATACACACACTGTAGCAACAAGGCTCTTGAGGGTGACAGCAGTACCAAGAATAGCCTGTGTTACAAAAAACTGAAATAACAAACAGTAAGTTTAATACCTTTTCTCCTGCCATACTGTATATTTCATTCACCTGCGCTCTCCGAGACTCGAACCATTGACTCCACATGTTTGAGGCAAAGGCTCTATCCAAAGTGTGGATGACAATTTACTGTCATCCAAGGACAACTGTACTACGAGACCCAATATGACTACAAATGCAAGTCATAGGAAAGTTTTAGAAATACCTTACTCAAAGGACTAAGAAGTAAACCAGGGTTATTCTGGTAAATAATAAAACAAGGTTTTCACAAATATAAGTACTGTACTGGGTACTGTACAAATATGGAGAGGCACAGGAGACAAATTTATTCATGGAATGTTCAAATGAGGGTCAAAGCAATAACCATTATACAAAAACACACCATTGAATGTAATGGAATGCCTCCTTCTCGGGGCCTACGGTGGCTCACTGTTGCTAGCTACAC